TTATGGAGTATGATCTAAATAAGACATGAATGGGCTTTGTACTATGCACACCATTCCTGTGTTTAGTATCAGAACTCCCTTTCCCAGTATTGTAAATTCCCTTCGGACAGATTTTCAGGAGAAACTGTGTTGTTTCCTTCTCATAAAATTCAAGTGGTTTCTGGGAAACTTTGTCCCTCCACAGATTCTTTTTCTTTTTTGCGATAGTTTTGCTCTGTTGCCAGCTACTAGAGTACAGTGGGTCATCATAGCTTAAACACCTGGGTTCAAGGGGTCCTCTTGCCTCAGCCTCCTGAGTAGCTGGGACTATAGACACGTATCACAACACCCAGCTAAGTTTTCTGTTTTTAGTAGTAACAGGGCCTTGCTCTTGCTCAGGCTAGTCTCAAACTCCTGACTGCAAGTGATCCTCTTCCCTTGGCCTCCCAGAGTGCTGGGATTTCAGGCATGAGCCCAGCACTCCAGGCCAAAGATTGAGTCTGTGGTAAAACACCAACTTGGAACTTGGCCACAAACTAGCCCTTCTTGAAGTAGTCATTAAGTTTTTTTTTATGCTTACCTTTTCATAGACATAAAAGCTGTTAATTGGGCTCCTATAGGTCAATGGTTAGAGCGCCGGCCCAGTGCTGCAGGGGTGGTGGGTTGGAACCCGGCCACAGCCCGCTAAACAACAACAAAAAACTGTTAGTAGATTCTCTGTTTTACAGGCCAGCACTGGAGAGTTAGTATCAGTCTGTGAGATTACTATTTAGACTTATGCAATTAGCTATATATAGCTATTTAAATTAATTACATTAAAACAAAGCTAATTCAATTCTTCAGTAACCCCAGCCATATTTCAAACTGTATGTGGCTGGTGGCTACCGTATTAGACAGCACAGATGTAGAACATTTCTGTTCACAGAGTTTAATGAACAGTTCTGGTTTAGTGTGTTGCAGATAGTGATGGGTAGCAGTGTGGCATAATGAAAAAAGGCCCAGAGTTGGTCTTTTTTTTTTTTTTTTTTTTGAGATAGGATCTTGACTTGTCTATCAAGAGTAGGGTATAGTGGCGTGATCATAGCTCACCTGTAATTTCAAACTCCTGGGCTCAAGCAATCCTGCCTCAGCCTCCTGAGTAACTGGGACTACAGGTGTACACCACCACGCCTGGTTAAGTTTTAAATTTTTTGTAGAGACAAGGTCTTGCTCTTGTTCAGGCTGGTCTCCTGAACTCCTGACCCTCAAGCGATCCTCTGGTCTGGGACTGCCAAGGTGCTAGAATTAATGGGCATGAACCACCACACCTGTCCCGGAGTTGGAGTTTTGAATTAAAAACCTATCTTTCAAGTCTCTATTTGGGATTGGTGGCCTTGGGCATGTTGTTATGCATCTCAACCTCAGATAATCATCTTTAATATAAAATGAACCCTTTCATTTGTGTATCACTTGACTGTTCTCAAATAAAACTGTGTTTATTATATTCTTTGAGCCTTACTGTTATAAATCATGCATGGACCATTACAAATCTAGGGGAAAGTGTGTGAGATGTCTCTTTTTTTTAATACACAAGAGGAGAGAAAACTGAACCTAAAGCAGGTAAAAGACCTTCCCAAAACTTATCAAGCAGGCATAATATAATCTCTTATGTATAGACACTTACTACAAGTTTGAAGGATTTGATGAAGCTGTTTGCTTAAGGTGATGACTATATGAAAGAGGGGATAGAACTTCTTTCTCCTGGCCAAGTGTTTTTACCTGTTTCCGTTTGGAATTGTAATGTGGGACTGATAAATTTTTGAGTTGAAGAATCACTGTATCCCATGAATGAATGTAAGTGAAAAGGCTGCCCAACCCAGGGCTGGTCAAATTTGCCTGGTCAGGGGAATCACTTGAGGCATTTGTTAAGCTTGTGCATTTCCATGCTCCCTGGAGATTCTAATTAGGAGCCTTGAAATCTGTATGTTTAACTAGTACCCCAGGTGCTCAACTCTTTTGAGTTTGGGAAGTGGCTAAGTGTTAAGGCCCTGGCAGAGGTAGTGATCAGGACGCTGCTGCCCCTTTTAGGGTAGATTCTTGAAACATTATGTTTGACTTTTCTCTCCTCTAGCCATGGATGCATCATTTGATGGTACTGAGGTAACTGTCGTGATGGAGGAAATTGAGGAAGCCTACTGTTATACCTCCTCTGGGCCACCCAAAAAGAAGAAAAAGTATAAAATACATGGAGAAAAGGCCAAGAAACCCAGGTTTGCCAACACATTTGCCAGTTGCTGCCGGCATTTACAAATAGAGCTGTTTGAAAACTGTTGAGGTCTTCCCCTGAGGGAAGACCCTGACACAAGACTTTAAGAATTTTGAGGAAAGAATGGAACTGTTGAAGTCTCAGAGTGAGATGGGCAGGAGAAAGTGGGGGAGTGGGAAGTGGCCAGATTTTTGCCAGTATTTGCCATTCCTGTCCAGACTTTGTTTATTTCCAGGTTGTCACAGGAAATCACAACACACAGATGATAGAAGCTATGTACAAAAGAGCTGCATTATTTTTATTATCCTATTGTTATTTAAGTGTTTAAAACAAGCCATTAAAAATTATAGAATTATTGTAGAAAATAGCACCAATGATATCTATACAGAGTATCTAAATTATAGTTTTTAATCTCCCTCTTGAATGTGATTGCTTTGAACTTCTTGGTGAAACTACCAGCATTGGTCACTTTGATAATTCTGTTTACTCTCCTCTCTCAGCCTTGGGGAGTTGCTTTTGATCAATTAGATAATCAAAGGCTGGATAGGTGAATAAAAAGTGTGAATGATAACCATCTGGGTATGAGCCCCCTGAGTAAGCATTCCCTGAGAGTGGAATGAGAGGACACTTGTATTTTTATTTGCTTGTATTGGGTTTAAAACCAGTCATTCCACCAGAAAAGGGGTCTGTGGGAAAGTAAACCAGATGTACCTTTGCTTCCAGGCTTCTGAAGGGAAA